AGGGTGGTGCAGAAATCCAGAGACAACCTCGAAAGGGGCCTTCCCACCAGCCTCCTCCACGGAGCCCCGGAAACTTCGCAAAAACTCTTGCGGGACGATGGCAGCACTTTCGTCAGCAACACTAAGACAGTCCCAGAGCCTGTGGAACAGCGTGCTCCTGTGGGCCTGGCAGAAGTGACAGGCGTCCGCGACGTCGTAGCCCGCTTCACGGGCCCTAGCAAGGGGCCAAATTCTCACCAGGTCACTAAAAGCATGAGCGGGGTCGACATGGAACACCCGATCCTAAGAAACGGACAGTTTCAGGGCCCCGATGGGTCCCGGCACAGTGCGCCAGGTCCAGGTACAAGGGTCGGTGGTATGCCAGAAGCCCTGCGGTCCGTCCTGGAAAAGCAACTATTGGTAGCCCGAGTGTGCCTGGCCCAAACATTCTTCGACCACCTAGTGACAGGAGAGACGGCCCGGAACCTGGCAAGGTTTAAGCCGGGCCTGTCCCCCTGCAGGGGGATTTTGGGCGAAAAATAAAAAATACGCAAAGACAAAAATATCCCAAAACGTGCTCAAACGTACCCCAAAAACTAGTCCCCAGACTATTTTGTGACTAGTTTTGAACATTCCCCCTGTACACCCTGCGAAATGCTTAAGAAATCATGGGTTAAGAAATTCATAGTCTCAGAACTTGAATAAAAACCCTACATTCCCATTCAAATCTTAGGATTTACATTGAAACGTTAAGAATAATCGAGACTCTGGCCGAAAATTCAAGTTTTCTTAAGCATCGCCTAAGGTGTAGAGGGACAGGCCCGACGTAAGGCAAGGGCCCCTCGATCCAAGACAAACGGGTCAAGCTGCGCGCCCCGACCGTCGGATTTTTTCACCGCGGCCGCACGCAGCCTCCGAACATATCTGTAAGAGCTCGCCGCCGCTGCAGCCGTGGACCTCGCTGCCGTCGGCAGGGGGCCACATGCGAACCCTACCCCTATCGGGTCGGGCGAAAGGGGGGGGATAGCAAAGGGGGGGTTTGAGAATCAGCTCACGTAGCTGATTTTCCCGGCGCCTCCCGGCGCCGGAGGCGGCTATGTATCGAGGAATGGGCCCCTCGGCGGGGCCGAAACCAGCTGCATGCAGCAAATTTCGTAACCCCCCCTTTCCCAATCCCCCCCTTTCGCCCGACCCGACCCTACCCCCCACGATTTCTGAGGGGGAGGGTGGGGTTCACTTCGTGGGGCACACCCGAGATAACCTTCTGCAGCTGCCAAGCTGCCACGGGGAAGCAATGGCAAGTATCACGGATCGACCCAGGCGCATTGAGCCCCATATCGTCGATGAAGGCATCAAATGACACACGATCCTAGGAATAATTCAACTGTCGGAAACGTCCAGAGCAAAAACCCTGATAAGGGTCGTCGCAAAACTACACCCCGCAATGATGCCCACTCGAGCATACATAGGACAAGCCACGACCCCTCCGAGCACCGCAAACCTAGCAACCCTGTACCCAGCAAGGCAAACAGAAGCGATGGGGGCAGGGAAGCTGCGTTGATGGCACCTCAGGGCCAGGGTTCCAAGGGGGATACGTTCGTAATAATGAAGTCCCAGAGCAGAGTACAGGCGACGAGTGGACGGAAGAGAAGGGGGAGGAGGAGGAGGAGGAGGAGGAGGAGGAGGAGGAGGAGGAGGAGGAGGACGAGGAGGAGGAGGAGGAGGAGGAGGAGGAGGAGGAGCAAGGAGCAAGGAGCAAGGCGCGCCTGAGTCCGCCATGGAGGCGGAGCCTGGAAGGCCGGCGCGGGCGGGCCGGGGCCCTCAGTTGTAGATGTGGAACTTGTGGTCAGTGCTGCGTGTGTGGCGTAGGAACACTTGTTCCAAATTGCTCCATTGATTGCTGTCCTGTGCCAGTAAACCATCGTTCGCTTCCAAGTTGGAGACACATGTTTGCTGTCAGATTTTGTGTGGTATCGTCTTCCCACCTCTTCCTCTGACCCCGGTGTCTGCGGGCTGCTTGCCCGAGGTCGTGGATGTCCGGTTCCCACGTCGCAGCAAGTCGGGCCCATCGGAATCGGAACCTGCAAAATACCTTCAACCATTCCGCCAACAGAAATAATCAGGATCGTGAGCCGGAGTCGAAAAGACGGGAGCTGGCATCGGATCCAGGATCGGGGAGGCGGGATGGGAGCTGGAGTCGGAGAGGCGGGAGCTGGAATTGGACCCGGAGTCGGAGAGACGGGAGCTGCAATCGGAGCCGGAGTCGGAAAAATGGGACGAGCGCTGGAGTCGGAAACCAGGGAGCTGGAATCGGAGCTGGAGTCGGAGAGATGGGCGCCGAAAAAGGAAACGGAGTCGTACAGATGGACGGGAGCTGGTGTCGTAAAGCCGGGAGCCAAAGCCTGCAGGGCTGGAGTCGGAGAGGTGGGAGCCGGAGTCGGAACCAGCAGTAGACTTTCAACCATTCCTGTCAACATAAATAATCAAAATCGTGAACCAGTCGGAAAACCTTCAACCATTCCTGCCAACATGAATAATCAAGATCGTGAGCCGGAGTCGGAAAAACGGCAGCTGCAATCGGAGCCGGGGTCGGGAGACGGGATAAGAGCTGGAGTCGGAGAAACGAGAGACGGAATCGGAGCCGGAAACGGAGAGATGGGATCTGCACTCGGAACCGGAGTCGGAGAGATGGGACGGGCGCTGGAGTCTGAAAGCTGGGAGCTGGAATCGGTGCTGGAGTCGGAAAGGTGGGCGCCGCAACAATGTCGGAGAGACGGGACGGGAGTTGCAGACGAAACCAGTGTCGGAGATAGGAGAGCCACTGGGGTCAAATCAGACGGCTTTATTGGAGCCTCCTTGGGGAAGGGAGAAGTATTCTTCTGTGTAGTTGAGAAAGCCGTCCTCCAAAAAGTTCCACAAGTGTGCATGTGATGCCATATCTACCCATTGGATGTTGCATTGGTATTACGTCACGCTCTTAAGAAACGACACTAGATCATCGTCCCAAGTCTTTCGCTGACCGCCGCATCGTCGTTCTGCTCGTCGTGCGTCGTGCACGCTCGGGTCCCGAAATATACAACGCCTCGCCCATCTGTCGGCGTTGTGGCCTGCAACCCGGGCTGCGTAGTACCACTTCCTTTTGAAATAGATGCGCGTCCATTCTATCACGCGCATGCGCTCCGCGATAGTTACGGCATCGTGGCGGATTCTTTAGAAAGCAGGGCTTTCACCTGAATAGCAGGCCCATACGGCGTGCGGCGCGTTTCAAGGGCGGGAGGGAGGAGAAGGAAGTGAAGGCGGGATGGGGGAGGAGGAGGGGCAAAACGGGTCAGGCAGAGGAGAGGTGGGGAGGCGGAGGGGGAGGGGGGGGAGGGATGGGGAGGGAGGGGGCAGGGAGGGAGAGGGAGGGGGCAGGGAGGGAAGCGAGGGAGGTAGGGAGGGGGAGGAGGAGCCCAGAGGAGGTCATGACCAGCTGGTCCCTGCACGCAGTCCTGCGCGGTCCTGCCTGCAACCTGAGCCGAGCATCTCTAAGAGCGCCCCCTCTGCGGCGCTCAACATCATCACGATCATCATGAGCATCAGCACAACCGCCTCATCATCATCATCATCACCATCACCATCACCATCACCATCATCATCATCATCAACATCATCATCATCATCATCATCATCATCACCATCATCATCATCATCATCATCCTAATCAGTACAATAAGTAACATCATCAGCAGCAGCACCACCACCATCACCATCACATTCACAAACACTACCACCATGATCACCAACATCACCCTCATCGCCAACACAGCCAGCATCATCATTATGCTATCATCATCACCATCAGCAACAGCATCATCCTCATCAGCAGCAGCAACAACTGCATCATCATCCTCACCGTCATCGCCATCATCAGCATGATCAGCATCATCATCACCATCATCATCATCACCATCATCGTCAACAGCATAATCGTCAGCATCAGCATTATCAGCATCGGCAGCATCAGCATCAGAAGCATCAGCATCAGCGTCACCATCAGTCATAATCGTTAACATCATCATCAACAGCAGCAGCATCATCATATTCATAACCAGTCATATCATCACACTCAGTGTTGCCTCATCGTGGTCAACATAGTCATCAGTATACGCGTCAAGAGAAACATCATCATAATCATAATCGTCTTCATCATCGTCAGTGTCATCGACATCGTTATCGTAATCGTCATCGTCCTTACTGTCAAGCAGAATAACGAGGACGCCCGATAAGGATGAACGAGCCCCTGAAGGCCATGCCGACAATTTGCAAGCGGGGCGCGGCCAGCGAAACTGGCAAAGGATGGGCCGGAGAAGGATGCAAGGGTAACCTTCGAAACATGCTCATCCTTACTACTCCGAGTCTCTGAATAAGCCCGGGGGGGGCGTCATCCCCGCCGACAGCCCCACATCGACCCCCGTCGCGAGCAGCCACCGCGCGCCCAAGGCGCTCCGACCCCGTCGCGGCGCGACGACGAGGTGAGGTTGACCCCAATCGCGTGGGTACCCCCCCACGCTTATTAAGAAACCGAGATTATGCAAGTACACGGTAGAAACTCAACATCATCATGATCATCACCACAACCATAATCATCCGGTCATTCCTCCTCCTCTTCCTCCTGCTCCTCCTCCTCCCCCTCCCCTCACACCCTCGGCTCCCTCTCCTGCTCCTGCTGCAGCTGCTCCCTCCTCCTCGGCCTCTTTGTTCCCCTCCCCTATCCTCCTCTTCTCCTCCTCCTCCTCCTCGTGCTCCTCATCCTGGTCCCCTCCCTCCTCTTCTCGTCCTCATCCTCGTCCTCCCCATCCTGTTCCCTCCTCCTCCTCTTCTCCTGTTCCCCCCGTTGTCACTCCTCCTCTTCCCTCTTCCCTCCTCTTCTCGTCCACCCCCTTGTCCCTCCTCCCTCTTATCCTGCTCCCCCCCCTGATCCCGCCTCCTCCTCCTCCTCCTCCTCCTCCTCCTGGCCACCGCTGCGCGCGGGCGCGTGCCAGAGAGGGCATCTGCCCCGAGGAAGACGCGGAGGAGGCGGCAGCCGGCGTCACCTGCACGGGTGCGACGAGGGGTTCCCTCCTCCGCCTCCTCCTCCTCCTCCTCCTCCTCGTCCTCATCCTCGTTCTCCTCCGCGTCCTCCTCCTCCTCCTCCTCCTCCTTCCTCTCTCTCCTCCTCCCTCTCCTCCTCCTCCTCCCTCCCCTCCTCCTCTCCTCCTCCGCTCTCTCCTCCTCCTCCTCCTCCTCCTCCCTCCTCCTCCTCACCTCATCCTTCTCCTGGCCCTTCTCCTCCTCCTCCTCCTCGTCCCACATGCTCCCTCGGCGAAGGCTTCACGAAACTATCAGCCAGGGCTGTAGGGAAACGGCGCAGGCCCTCTACACCAGCAGCCGGCGACGGAGGCAGACGGCAGATCCTGGCCATGCTGAACGGGGCTGGCTGTCGGCGTCGCTGCGGACGTGCGGGCCGAACAGCGGCCGCTGTGCCTAGCGTCGCCTACGCCATGGGCCGGGCCTGAGCCCTCCACATCCTTGCTCCCCCAGGGCTCCCGCGGGGAAACTGAGTGGGAAGCACTCGGCACCGCCAACGTGCTCCACCTCGCCCTCCTCCTCCTCCTCCTCCTCCTCCTCGTCGTCCTCTCGACTACACGCAAGAGTGACCCTGGGTAAGAGTGACCTTTGGGTGCGCGGCTTCTGGGCGCCGCGGGAGGACTTACACACAGGCGCGCAGGACGCTACTACATATCGCGTCGAGTTCGGCGATCGGGGGACCCCAAATGGGCCCGCACCAAATGTCACTCCGGCGAAAGGTCACTCTTACGTTTGGTCGATCGTCCGCCTCCTCTTCTCCAGTTCCCTCCTTCCTGGTCCTGCCTCCTCCCGCCTCTGTTATCCCTCCTCGCGTAACCCTCCAGGAGGGTTACGCGGTTAGAGAAATAAATAAAGAAAGAGAGGAGGCGGGTCCCTCCTCCTCCTCTCTTTCTTTATATATTTTACCTCTATATCTATATGTATATACATATTGATCCCTATCTCTCTCTCTCTCTCTCCATCACGAACCGTCGCCCGATATTGCGAACTACGAAGATTGAATATACATACTATGTATATACAAAAACATACGTACGAATGTATATCAATATCTCTATCCTGGTATCAGTGATTATGTCGCTTTATTTATTTCTCTCTCTCTCTCTCGCTCTCTCTCTCTATCTCTCTCCCTCGCACTCACTCACTCACTCATGACCTCACTCGTTTATGCCATCTCCTCTTATGTAGAGTCGCAGGAGGCTTCCACAATCGTGGAATCGCGGAAGGCTGGGAGGTATGCAGAACATTGGGAAGACATCGGGATAGGAACCTCCACATCCAGAAACTATCGAACCGTATTGCACAAACGCAGTCGAAGCAGAAACTGCATATACCCATCTGTATCCGCCGACCCCTTGGGGATCATCGGCGTGTGAGATGCTTCCCCCTCTCCAAACCCCTCCCCCGGGAGCCCGGTCCGGTCGATTTGGAGGGGGGGGGGGGGGGTCCGGGACGAGCGATCCACGGGGCTTTTCCTGGCCCACGAGGGCCTCAAGACGGGCCACGAAGCCCCCAAGAGGCTTCCAAGACGGCCCACGAAGGCTCCGAGACGCCAAACGACCGCTCCAAGACGCCCACGATGGCCCCAAGACGGGCCAAGAGGTCTCCAAGACGGCTTGAGGTCCCAAATGAGCTTCCCAAGAGGGCCCAAAGAGTCTAAAATTGCTGATTTTCCAGAGTGTTTTTCGATGTTTTTTCCTGTTCCGCCTTTCCGGCTTCCCGACGCTTCAAGACGCGCGACGAGGCTCCAAAGATAGCCCCAAGATGGCCCAAGAGTCCCCCAAGACGGCCTCCAGACGGCCCAAGACGGCCCCAAGACGGCCCAAGAGGTCCCCAAGACGGCCCAAGAGGGCCGATTTGAAGGGGGGGGGGGTCCGGGACGAGCGATCCACGGGGCTTTTCCTGGCCCAAGAGGGCCTCAAGACGGGCCACGAAGCCCCCAAGAGGCTTCCAAGACGGCCCACGAAGGCTCCGAGACGCCAAACGACCGCTCCAAGACGCCCACGATGGCCCCAAGACGGTCCAAGAGGTCTCCAAGACGGCCTTGAGGTCCCAAATGAGCTTCCCAAGAAGGCCCAAAGAGTCTAAAATTGCTGATTTTCCAGAGTGTTTTTTGATGTTTTTTGTTTTTCCGCCTTTCTGGCTTCCCGACGCTCCAAGACGCGCGAAGAGGCCCCAAAGATAGCCCCAAGATGGCCCAAGAGTCCCCCAAGACGGCCTTCCCCAAGACGGCCCAAGAGGTCCTTTCTCCAAAGGCCTTGAGGTCCGAGCTTCCCAAGATCTCTGCCCGAACGAGACGCGCCCCCAAAGATAGCCCCAAGATGGCCCAAGACTCCCCCAAGACGGCCTCCAGACGGCCCAAGACGGCCCCAAGACGGCCCAAGAGGTCCCCAAGACGGCCCAAGAGGGCCGATTTGGAGGGGGGGGGGTCCGGGACGAGCGATCCACGGAGCTTTTCCTGGCCCAAGAGGGCCTCAAAACGGGCCACGAAGCCCCCAAGAGGCTTCCAAGACGGCCCACGAAGGCTCCGAGACGCCAAACGACCGCTCCAAGACGCCCACGATGGCCCCAAGACGGGCCAAGAGGTCTCCAAGACGGCCTTGAGGTCCCAAATGAGCTTCCCAAGAAGGCCCAAAGAGTCTAAAATTGCTGATTTTCCAGAGTGTTTTTCGATGTTTTTTCCTTTTCCGCCTTTCCGGCTTCCCGACGCTCCAAGACGCGCGAAGAGGCCCCAAAGATAGCCCCAAGATGGCCCAAGAGTCCCCCAAGACGGCCTCCAGACAGCCCAAGACGGCCCCAAGACGGCCCAAGAGGTCCCCAAGACGGCCCAAGAGAGCCGATTTGGAGGTGGGGAGGGGTCCGGGACGAGCGATCCACGAGGCTTTTCCTGGCCCAAGAGGGCCTCAAGACGGGCCACGAAGCCCCCAAGAGGCCTCCAAGACGGCCCACGAAGGCTCCGAGACGCCAAACGACCGCTCCAAGACGCCCACGATGGCCCCAAGACGGGCCAAGAGGTCTCCAAGACAGCCTTGAGGTCCCAAATGAGCTTCCCAAGAGGGCCCAAAGAGTCTAAAATTGCTGATTTTCCAGAGTGTTTTTTCGATGTTTTTGGCTTTTCCGCCTTTCCGGCTTCCCGACGCTCCAAAACAGGCAAAGAGGCCCCAAAGATAGCCTCAAGATGGCCCAAGAGTCCCCCAAGACGGCCTCCAGACGGCCCAAGACGGCCCCAAGACGGCCCAAGAGGTCACCAAAACGGCCCAAGAGGGCCGATTTGGAGGGGGGGAGGGGGCCGGGACGAGCGCACCACGGCCGGGACGAGCGGTTCACGGAGCTTTTCCGGGCCCAAGAGGGCCTCAAGATGGGCCAAGAAGCCCCCAAGAGGCCTCCAAGACGGCCCACGAAGGCCCCGAGACGCCAAACGACCGTTCCAAGACGCCCAAGATGGCCCCAAGACGGGCCAAGAGGTCTCCAAGACGGCCCCCGAGGTCCCAAACGAGCCTCCCAAGAGGGCCCCAAGAGTCTAAAATTGTTGATTTTCCATAGTGTTTTCCGATGTGTTTTGCTTTTCCGCCTTTTCGGCTTCCCGACGCTCCAAGACGCGCGGAAGAGGCCCCAAAGACAGCCCCAAGATGGCCCAAGAGGCCCCCAAGACGGCCTCCAGACGGCCCAGGACGGCCCAAAGACGGCCCAAGAGGTCCCCAAGACGGCCCAAGAGGGCTCCAAGACGGCACCACGAGGGGCCCAAGAGGGCGACCAAACATGTTGAAACTCTAGCTTTCTGCCCCCAGGAGCCCCAGGGGGCCCCAAGAGTGCCCCAAGAGGCCCCCGGAGGCCCTCACGAGGCCGCCCAGACGCCCCAAGGAACCCCCAAGAAGCACCCCAGAGGCTCCGAAACGGCCCCCGAGTGGCTCCAAAACTCGCAGTGTCGCTGTCCGCTCGGACCTCCCCGCGGAACTGCCCGAGACCCTCTGGCGGTGGCGGCGAACAGACACCAAACAAATATCACTCGCCTTTTCACCCCTTCGCAGCTTCTACTACCCCCAGATTGGCATAAACAAGGGGTCGGCGGTGTGGCGTAAGCCTAAGAATCAATGTATATATATATATATATACACGGATATATACAAACATAGGGCAGCCAGTGGTCCCGTGGGCGGGGCCGAACAGCAGCGGTTGCCGAAGGGGGAGGCAAGCGAAAGAATATCGCGTCTGGTAAGATGTGCAGCACTCGGTAATTTACGAGACCTCGACCTCCGTCAAGCATCGCGGTGCTTTCGCACGCAAGCGGAGAGATAAGGAAGGAGTTGGGAATAACGGGCGAGCTAGACGGGGAGAGCGAGGACGTGGACGCGGGGTGGGGTGGCGAGGGTGGAGGTGGGCGGCGGCAAGAGTGGAGGAAAAGGAGGACGATGGGAAGGGATGATGGTGAGGGGGAGGGAGGGAAAGGGACGAGGAAGGACGAGGGGGAGGGGACGAGGAAGGACGAGGAAGGACGAGGGAAAAGGGACGAGGAATGACGAGGAAGGACGAGAGGGGGGGGAGGATGAAAAACGAGGGGGGAGGGAGAGAGAAAAAAGATGAGGAACAGGTAGGCGAGGATGCACACCTTCCTTTCTCAACCATCGCTCCTCGTAATCCTCCTCCTCCTCCTCCTCCTCCTGCTCCTCCTCCTCCTCCTCTTCCTCCTCCTCCTCTTCCTCCTCCTCCTCCTCCTCCTCCTCCTCCTCTTCCTCCCCCGCTCGAGCGGCGACACGCCCCTTTCCCCCCCCCTCGACCCCCTCCCACTGTCGCTCCTCCGCCCGGTCCCCGTTTGCCTCTCTCTCTCTGCCCCCCCTTCCAACTCCAACTCCGTCGTCTTCTTCTCCCGCTCCCCCGCCTCCTCCTCCTGCTCCTCCTCCTGCTCCTCCTCCTTCTCCTCCTCCTCATCATCATCATCTCCCTCGCATTCTCCTCGTCCTCCCCCTCC